CTTTGATAGTAAGTGAGTATTGTGGTCTATAGACCCCTACATCTATCATCGAATATTAACGAAAATATAGTTTTATTACAGCCCTAAGGTTGACTGGCAGGGAATGCTTAATTAAGTCAAACTTTTGATCATATACTGTTGTAAGGTTCATAAAGTTTAATAGTAAAGTAAAGTAAAGAAATAAAATCCAAATGCATTGTCCATCCTGTCAACTAAGACGAAATTCCCCGTTACAGTATAGAATAGAATAGAATAGAATGGTTTTTATTCAATATTGATTATTACATAATACTTATTGAAAGTCATGTTTTATTTACCACTGGTTCGAAAACTTCCTGTGTCCTGGGAAGAACCAGCAAGAAACCCAGCGGGACTTTTTTTTTTAAAACATAATTTCACTTGTCATTAATTTTTTTTATATAATTTTAAATGAATTTTCATAGAACCAGAATGGTGGCGATCACCTTATTCCCAGGTGTTATTTTCATTCATGTATTCCTTGATATTATAATAATCCTTTTCATACAGTTTTTCTTTAATAAAACTTTTAAACTTGTTTATTGACAAACTTTGCACATGTTCTGGGATTTTGTTGTAAAAGCGTATACATTGTCCCATAAATGAATTACTAATTCTGTGGAGTCTAGTAACTGGCATTACAAGTTTATGTTTGTTCCTAGTGTTTAAGGTATGAACATCCATATTTTTATTAAAGCTATTTATGTTTTTATGTACATACATTACATTTTAAATATATTGCGATGCCAAAGTTCATATGTTTATTTCTTTAAATTTTTCTCTGAGGGACTCTTTACAATTTAGGTTATAAATCGCCCGTACGGCACTTTTTTGTAAAACAAATATAGCTTCAATATCAGTCGCATTACCCCATAGCAAAATTCCATAAGAAATTACGCTATGAAGGTAACTAAAATACACTAATCCAGCTGTCTCAACGTCTATGAGACTTCTAATTTTTCTTACAGCATATGCTGCAGAACTAAGTCTGCTTGCTAATTTAGATATATGAGGGTCCCATTGAAGTTTCGCGTCGATAGTAATACCAAGTAAAACAGTGGTATCCACAAGACTCAACTCCTCCCCATTTAAGAGCACATTGGTTTTCTAATGTATTACATTAGGTATTGTAAATTTAATACATTTTGTCTTATTGCCATTTAAGAGCAAATTGTCGGCGTTAAACCAATGTACTAATTTCGATATAGCACTATTCATCACATCACATCGTTATAAAGTAAAAAATATCTACCGTTCTTTTCACTCACTATAAGAAACACACCAGCATGTTGACCTTATTTTTGCTACCATTGTGTGAGTTCTGTGAGAGCATGATTATTGCCCCGCTGACCCGAACCATCGTTCTGCAACCATAATACAGCTGCAGCGTGGCTCTACCACGTTCACCACATGTTCGTTATTACAAGTAAATGAAGTGTACTTATTATAAGCCAATGACTAGCCCCACTTGATATAAGTGCCCAGTCTGGTAGTACTAGATAATAAATCGATCTGTCTTAGTGCAAAAAAACCTATTCATTCTCACCTTGAAGATAGACACGTTAATAGGCGTAGGGAGAGACAGACGCTGGCAAACTGTTCTAATTTCTTGCTGTACGCATTACAAACAGTAAAGCACATCGTTAGAGTATCGCCAAAAAAGGTGTGAAAACTCAAGAGAAGAACAAATCGAGCAGTAGACTTAAAATGGCACCACATCATATAAATGTGTTGTGGTGACTTAGCTTGTGGTTTATATATATTTTTATTCTTGTTGTAGTTAAAAATACGTTAACATTTTTTTTTAAACTAAGGAACGTTAATGTGATTATTTTAAGAAAATACCAGAATTCATTTGTATCGGAAATTACAACATATTTCTGGTTTACCCGATAATCTCTTCCTATGACACCCACGGGACGAAATGCAGTGATGGTTTAGTAAGTGACTTCTAATCTTGATGAGTAAAGATCCCTAAAATTAAAAAGTAGCTTCCAAGTTCTCAGGGTATGTAATGCAATCGCCAGTCCGCTTATTTTTTTTATAGGATAAGGGTGACAAACGAGCACACAGTCCACCTGATGGTAAGTGGTTGCTGTGGCCCATAGACATCTACATCTATCCTCTATTACAAATCAATATGTAGATGCGTTGTCACCCGTGAGGACTAAGATGGAATGCCTCATTTCCAGTAAAGAGGGCCTCCGGCCACCTGCACTCACCAAGCGAAACGCAGAGGTAAACCTCTACTTCACGCTGGTTTTCTGTGAGGTCGTGGTACCACCCCGGTTCGAGCCGGCCCATCCGTGCGACAGCAAAAGCTGCCGCGTGGCTCTACCACTGTTAAAAATGCTTATCAAACGTGGCGATAATGTAAATTCTATCTAGTGCAAAATAAGTGTCTTGCAAAAGACTGTTATTAAATTTTGGTTAAATATTTTAAGAACAAGCTTAAAGAAATAGTAATTAAAAAAAAAACCGAATGCATAAAAAAGTTTACTTAAAAGAGAAAAAATGTACACCTTAAATCACTTCCACAACTAAGAGGTTCTAATGGCACCCCATATGTTCAAATATATCAAGGCTACGGAGCGTGCCAACGAAATAGATATATATACCTCTCTTGAAAAATATTACTCTTCTTGGGCAGTCAAATAAAAAGATTGTGTGTTACGTCGATCTGTGATATTTTTTTAAAAGAACTTCAGATGTGTAAATTTAAGTGAGACGCCAATTTCCTGGGTTAGTCAAAATGCCTGCTTAAATGAAACACGAGGGTACACAGTGGCCCTCTGAACCTATTCAAAGCACTTGATTTTGGCAATATGTAAAGAGCAGGCCAACCGACAGAGCTTCAATAGAGTGGGGAAGAATAAGAAGCCCTTCCCCGTAATCAGTGCGGTAGCGTCCTGAACGGACCAAATATGCTGCTTCACGTACGATGCAGCTGTGTATACGTATTTCGATTAGTCCAACTTCATAACCCACGAAGGCTGAGGGGATCATGGATTACATCGAAGTAAAGACCAACTTTACGTTATAAGGACCGAAAAGTTGGAGTCGCGTCACAATGTTGACTTTAAATCATTTTTGTGATCCGGGTCCGTATACGCCAAATTGAGACAGTCAATCCAGGCTTATGTTCAACAGTGGAACTTTATAGGATGTAACGGATGGATGGACGTGTTTGTATAGGCCTTTGTTGCCTGAAGTAAAATCAAAATCAATAAATAAAAAAGGCGACATAAAATATTAAAGCAAGTGACAATAAATTTATTGCTAATATTAAAAAGTTTCTCAAGGGACTTCGATGAAATTTACGGCTTTTAAGCAGAACAGGTTTTATGAATGGTTTGTTGCTCTTAAATAAAGTTATTAACTCTCTTGTTATTTGAGACAATCTTTACAACTTGTGGTCAAATCTTTTGTTCATTTGATAAAATAACTAAGCTTCTTATAATTATGGTCAAACTTCACTTAAGGTAAGTTGGTTTAACCAATTAATTTTATAGTATTAGAGTGATAAATAGGGTTGCCAATTTTTTTTTTATTTCAAGTGTAGTATTTTCAAGTCTATTACCTAAAAATTATAGTAGATGGCAAAAATATGTACGTATAGATGAAGCCAGGACGTAGTGATTATATTCTCTTTGGGTAAAATGATGATGTTTCAAATCAACATACTATTTTCGAAACCATATTTATTACTGCATTGAACTTTTATTAAGAGCCTCAAGCCATAATAAAATATAATAGTTTCCCTACTATATATTTTTAGTATTCAGACCCCAAATATATTAGAGTAATGTATCTACTGTATATATACTGAGAGTTTACAAGCCACCTGATAAATCAAACAACGCCACAAATGTATTACCTCTAAGAACTATAATATCTCTCTCGCTCTCTCTCTCTTTCTCTCTCTCTCTCTCCCTCGCACACACACACACACACACACACACACACGCGCGCGCGCGCACACACACTTTAAAGCCGAAGCAGTACCTAGGGACAAAAAAAGCTCTAGCACTAAGATTAGCATTATTTTGTCAACTTCACTCTGATACTTTCAAATTTACATCATAAAGCCGCACGAATCGTTTAATAGACTTCAAATGTCATTCATGGCAATACAAATTTTAGCGCGATCGATGCGCAATGAAGAAAGAAGTGATCGCTGTTTGACGGAAACTGGCTGGCAATAGAAAATTTCCGTCAACCTTCCTTACAGACCCGATTTGGCACCATTTATATTACTCCGAGGGCAGATTCCGCCAAACTTGTTTTTTTTTTAAGAACAGGGGGCAAACGAGAATGCGGTTTACCTGATGCGGACACCAGGGGAATGGCAGGTGCATTGCTGGCCTTTTAGAAAGGAGTAAGCTCTTTTCTTGAAGGTCTCTAAGTCGTATCGGTCAGAAAAATCACTGGTGGTAAACAACACCACAGAGATGAAATCAAATAATTAGGGGAGAGGTTGTCATGACGGGGACACGAGGCACGACGGGGCCACCCACACTTACAAAAAACTATACGCTCTAGATGTGTTTTGTTTTCGCTAATAGGAAGCCATTTAGTATCTCTCTTTAGTCTGATAGTGACCGGCGACTAGACTGCGTGCGTTTGATTTTCAAAACAAAGAACGATTTTTAACGTAATTTTATGTACTTTTAAGTGACTACGAATACGCATATAAAAAGGTAAGTGATAATGTCGCTACTATCATGAATTTATTTTGTTTTTGCAGATAAATTACTTATTGATATGTTTTGAACAAAAATACTACCGTCACGCATTTTATTTGGTTTGTCATTTTAAATAATGTGAAAATTGGTGCATAACGGGGCTACATGGCTACGGGATACGTTGGGGTACCCCGTTATGCCCCGCAACCGTTGTCCTTATGCCCCTGTTTTGTAAATTAACTGTGGGATTTTTCTTGTTGATTTGATAATAGAAAATATTTTCTTTTAGGTATAAAAATGATACGGACGTATAAGAAGAAAAGTTCAAGACATAGAAAATACACATATTTAGCACAACAGACATAGTTAGCTGGTCCATGAAAAACATGAAACAGGCAATTGATGCAGTCTTAAGCAAAACTGCTGCCTATAGGAAAGCAGCTCACCTGTATAGTATGCCACAGACCACATTAGAGCGTCATATCGCTAAAATAAGGAAAAGCAAGCTGTCTCTTGACTCTACTCCAGGTAACTTCTAGCCCGTGTTTTCCAAACAAGAAGAAGAGGAGCTGGTAAGGTACATTATACAAATGGAGAAACGTTTTTTTTTTGTTTAATCACTATCGTCCTACGGAAGCTAGCTTATCAGCTAGTGGAAAAAAATGGCAAAGCTCACAATTTTAATCATGATAAAATGATAGCTGGCGTAGATTGGTTAAAGGGATTCTTGAAGCGCCACCCATATTTATCTATCCGAAAATCGGAAGCTATATCGGCAGCTCGAGCAATGGGTTTTAATAGTGGCTGTGGGTAAATTTTATTCTCTGCTCGAGGAAGTATATGACAAATATAATTTAACGCCAGACAGAATTTGTAATTGCGATGAGACTGGCATATCATGCGTCTCAAAAACGAAAAACAAAATTATTACAGAAAAGGGGAGAAAAAATGTAGCATCGCTTTCTTCAGCAGAACGAGTGCAGACAGTTACGGTTGAGGTATGTTTTAATGCAGCAGGAACTTACATGCCTCCTACGCTAATATTTCCTCGACAGAGAATGAACCAAGAGTTGCTGAATCGAACTCCTCCTGGGACGACAGCAGAATGCAACGCTAAAGGATGGATATAAACTGAAATATTCATGAGCTGGTTCCAACGGTTTGTCAAGTTTTCTGGTGCGTCAATAACTAACCGGGCCTTGCTTCTTTTAGATTATCATGTAACACATACGCAAAATATATCAGTTATAAAATATGCACGCAAAAATGGCGTTGTAATGCTTTACTTTCCACCGCACTGCACCCATAGACTTTATGAAACCTTTAAGTGTATACTATGGCCAAACCTGCTTTAATTGGTTAAGGTCACACCCGGGGTGTATAATAACAACATTTCAAATAAGCGAAATATTTTCAAATAAGCGAAATATTTTCAAATGCATATATTCAAGTTGCAACAAAGCCTACAGCAATCAATGCCTTCAAAAATTGTGGCATATGGCCTTTCAATCAGAATAACTTTACAGATTTAGATTTTTTAGCTGCATCAACCACAAACGTACCGCTAGCAAACAATGAGTCTGAAACAGGTCCTTTAAATGTCGGAATCCAACAACAATCGGCGCTACCTATCCTTGAAGAACTTCCCCTTGAAGCAGATTTGCCTGCTTTAACTACACCTCAGCCTCAGCCTGGACCATCAACATTTAATGAACATAGCCTAATCCAATCTCCGATTCGAAAAGTATATCGTGATTTGACAACTTCGTTTGCAATTGCTTCGCCTCAAGAAATTCTCGCGATCCCGACAGTCAAACAAAGAAACCAAACGAGAAAAAACTATCGCCGAAGGAAAACTGTTGTTCTCACTTCAACCCCCTACAAAATTGAGTTAGAAGAAAAAGAATCACTTAAGAGAACGAAGAAGTTTTCTAATCCAAATAACCCCAAATTAAAGAAGAACTCTAAGAAACAGAAGACCCAAAATGCTCCCTCTGGTGTGGAAAATACACAAGATACCATGTGTCTGTACTGCCTTTACGTGAACCACACTTATTTAAAGTCTTCGGAAGGTTGGGTGGCTTGCCAACTATGTGGACGGTGGGCTCATACAGCTTGTCCTGGTGTAGATGACGACAATACAGAAGAAATCAACATTTTCTTGTACTGTAACGCAAAATAAATACGTAGCCCATACTGCCCCAACCCTGGGGCACGATGGGGTTTTCATTATATTTTCAAAAAATTAAAATTTAAACTTCATATGATTATTTACATAACCAAATTCCATGCCAAATGATAGTTTAATAAGTAACTGAAGTGTTCTGATTTGTTTTCATTAATAAATACATTGCGTTGATTATTTTACTATGTATTTTCCTTAACGTTCCCATTATGCCCCCCTCTCCCCTATAATTATATCACTATTTACTCCAGCGTTAAAGGACTTTTTGTTTTACTAAATCTTAAACCAGGTATAAATGTCGATTTGAGAGTAAATCGCTATGCCGCCAAAATTCATGGAGTATACTAGTTATCGATGATTATTTTAAAGGCGGCCACTATATTTTAACAGCTCTTTTTGGACGCTTTGTTGAAGAAGTAGGGTATTTTGCATTGGTGCATTTTTAACGTTTGTGATAATTGTAGGATTTTTTTAAGTAATGCAAAGTTTACGAAATATGGTCGAAGTTATTGATAGGGATGAATAAACATTCCAAGGCGTGACACCATCTGGTATTTTATTTTCTATCCCACGGAAATCTTTTTTCACGAGTTCCAACAGCAATTTTTTCTCAGAATGTAACCAATTTGGGCTACGTTTCTTTCTTTCTTCAGACATTTTATTTATTTACAATTACCACAACGTGCGTCACAAATACTTACTGACAACTGGTGTGTATATTACAACGTTATTGACAGTTGACACTATTATAATCCGGCAACTTATGTGGACATCAAATTTTGCGTTACGCTTTAGAAACAATTGTATTTCAATTCAAGTTCACTTACATGTACATTAATTATTCTTTCAGGAACTCAAGAGTAACAATACCTAGTATTGGTCACTCTACGTTTGTGATTGAAAAACGCAAACGAAGTTAGCTGAGACTAAGACCAAAGAGTAAAATTATTCGAGGGTTAGTTGCTCTGGTATAACATAGCATTTGGTCGAATCCATCCATTGTGACCTTAACTTCCTAAGGAATACGTCTGCTTAAGTACTAACTCCTTAGTCATGTCCGCCACATACAAGCAATGCACCTACTATTGTCTTTTAGTTTGAATTTTAAAGGTGTCACAATGGTGTTAACATTACAACCAAATCCTTGGAAGTGATAAAGCTATTTCTCAAGACCAAGTTAAAGGCTCTTATGAATTCCAAGAACAATCTTCTGCCTCACCCACAGAATTTTAGGTGTATGGTATGTTGTCACCGTGTTCTTTAATCTTATCACAAGTTTACTACGTCTCAAATTTACTACGTCATATTTTAGTTTATATATATACTACCTTTTACGTGGCAGAGTCATGCTGCAACTATATTACTGGTATAGTTGTAGCACGAATGGATCGGCTCGACCGGGGAAGGACCACGCTCTCACAGAATACCAGCTTAAAATTGCAGCTTAAGGCTGCTGTGTTTCGTATGGTGAGTGTAGAGAACCGAAAACCCTTTTAACTGGAAACGAGGCAATCAATCTTAGTCCTCAAGGGTGACAACGTATCTGCATTTTGACTCGTAATCTAGGATAGATTTAGATGTCTATGGACCACAGCAACCACTTACCTTCAGGTGTACTGTGTGCTCGTTTGTCACCCTTATCCTATAAAAAAATACTAGCTTCTGCCTTCGCATCTGCATGATAACAGAAAAGCCTTCATGTTAGGATAACATGATCTATCACAAAGGTAGGCTGAAAGCAAAACTTCAATCCCTTAAGCTGTTGGACAATTGACCACTAAACGTTCAAATAACTTAACTAATTTTCACATAATATAAAACTAAGGAATTAAAACGATTTCTGAACTAGGCTTTAACACATTCTATTAAGTCTTAAAATATAAATAAAACAGTTTTGGTATGACATTATTATTCTCAAAGTACTATTAAAATTGTTCATCGTACACATAACATTACCAACTTGATTCAATATTATTCATTTTATTACTGGTTTAGAGTATACAGTATTAACTTGAGTGCTCTCGTCTCGGAAATCTTTAATAGAATTCTGTATCGTGATCTATAGTGAGTTAACAAGTATAATACCATCTACTTAATAATGTACTGAAGTATGTATGTACAACATACATACTTTATAGGGATAGTAGATAAAATAACTACAAAATATTAGGGATCAAAAGATTCGTGATCTGTGTTTTTCATTAAGGCACTGACAAGAACTTACAAAAATGTTTAGCCAAATTTATATAGTTTTTATTATATTTATTCTTTATTGAGGATAAATGTAGATGTCTATGGGCCACAGCAACTACTTAACATCGGGTGAACTGTATGCGCGTTTGTCACCATATCCTATAAAAAAAAGTTTATGTTAGGGAAAATATATATATATATATATATATATATATATATATATATATGTATATATTGAATATAAAAACTACAAGAATTTTCCAAAATACGGTTTTGCTAAAAATTTCTCGATACAAAAAATGGCAACTCGCGCATGAAGGGTTCCGGACCATCGTAATAGACATTTCTAGTAGGGAAGACCATTTTAATTTTTTTTTTAATTTTTATTATTTTTTGTTATAGCGGCAACAGAAATACACATTCTGTGATAATTACAACTGTCTACATATTACGAATCAGACAGACGTACAGATGGATGGACGGATGGACGGCGGAGGCTTAGTAATAGGGTCCAGTTGGTTACACGCGTTTAACGGTGGTAGAGCCACGCAGCAGTTTTTGCTGTTGCACGTATGGGCCGGCTCGAGCCGGGTTAGTACCACGACCTCACAGAATACCGGCGTGAAGTGGAAGCTCTGCTTCCGCGTTTCGTCTGGTGAGTGCAGGTGACCGGAGGCCCAATTCCCCTCCCCCCCATCAACATGGTAGCGGAATTACGTCAAAAACTACCCCAGGAGGGTACCAGTACCCCTGGAGAATCCCTCGCTGAGCATCCACGACCATGCTATTCCACTCCTGAGCGTGGGTGCTCAGGCTGCCCCGCGTATTCTGGGGGGGAGGGGGGGGGGAAATTCCGCTCAACACAATAACTGCTCGGGGCAAACTGAGCAACAAGACCAAGGCGACCCCTGCCACGCTATCCGTGAATTTCTGCAACATCAGAGGACTTCACTCGAACCTAAACGCCGTCCACTACCATCTTGAGACGGCGAAGCCGGCCTTGCTCTTTCTGACCGAGACGCAGGTGTCCTCTCCGGCTGATACTTCGTATCTCTCCTACCCGGGGTACAAATTGGAGCACTCCTTTGTGCCTCGGGCTGGAGTTTGCGTGTGTGTCAGAGAGGACATCTGTTCTCGACGCCTCGGCAGTCTTGAAGGTTCGGACCTGTCCATCCTTTGGCTACGCGTAGACAGCGACGACCATCCGCACGTCTACGGGTGCCTCTATAGGTCCCATAGCGGTAATGCCGAAACAGACCGACTCATTGACCACGTCCAAATGGCTACAGATTCCTTGCTACAACAGGTCCCATCCGCAGAGATCGTGATCCTTGGCGATTTTAACGCCCACCACGCCGAATGGCTCGGTTCACGTTTAACCCATCATGCGGGGAGATCTGTTTATGACTTTGCCTTGGAATATGGTCTGAAACAACTGGTTACATCGCCTACGCGGATTCCAGATGTTGAGGATCATACACCTTCCCTGTTGGACCTTCTGCTGACCTCTCATCCGGACGGACATCAGGTTTCCGTCGATGCCCCTCTTGGCTCTTCGGACCATTGTCTGATCCGGAGTGTGGTGCCACTCACGCTCCCCTCGCGGTTGCGTTCTGCAGGTTGCCGCCGTGTTTGGCATTACAGGTCGGTGGATTGGGACGGAATGCGGTCTTTCTTTGCTTCCTACCCATGGGGGCGTTTTTTTCCATTGGGCGGGTTTGCTTCTCGCCGGATGATCCCAGCGCTGTTGCTAACTCTGTCACTGATGTGGTGCTACAGGGAATGGAACTATTTATGCCATCATCTGTGGTACCCATCGGAGGCAGATCTCAGCCTTGGTTTGGTCGCTCCTGTAAGACTGCTTTACGCAGTAAACAGGAGTGTTATCAAGCCTGGGCTGCGGCTTCGGCGACTCGGGATGTAAACACCAGCATACTTAAAAAGAAGTATAACTTCGCCTCCAGGTCCTTCAAAAGAGTTATTGCCAAGGCAAAGTCAGAGCACATAGGCAGAATTGGCGAGAAACTAGTTCGCCTTCCTTCGGGAACCCGTGCATTCTGGTCTCTCGCCAAGGCTGTCCAAGGGAATTTCTGTAAGCCATCACTACCATCTCTGCACAGGGAGGACGACTCACTGGCCCATGACGCAAAAGAGAAGGCCGACCTTTTAGGCTCCCTTTTCGCGTCCAACTCGACTGTTGATGACGGGGGGAATACACCGCCGACCATCCCGCGGTGTGAGTGCTCCATGCCGGATGTGCGGTTCTCACAGCGCTCGGTTCGCAGAGCACTCCTCTCCCTTGACATCCACAAGTCGAGTGGGCCTCACGGAATCCCCCCAATTGTGCTGAGGACGTGTGCTCCGGAGTTGGCACCGGTTCTAACGAGTCTTTTCCGGTACTCCTACTCCCTAGGCGTAGTTCCGAAATCATGGATGACAGCTTTTGTCCACCCGATCCCTAAAAAAGGCAACCGCTCAGACCCGTCCAACTACAGGCCTATCGCCATAACCCCCTTGTTCTCCAAAATAATGGAATCCGTTATAAACTGCCACCTCATGCGGTACCTTAAGGATCACCAGCTGATTAGTGACCACCAGTACCGTTTTCGTCGGGGTCGATCAGCTGGTGATCTTCTGGTCTACTTAACTCATAGATGGGCCGAGGCAGTAGAGTCCAAGGGGGAGGCATTGGCCGTTAGTTTGGACATTGCGAAGGCCTTCGATCGGGTTTGGCACAAAGCGCTTCTTTCGAAGCTCCCTTCCTATGGGCTTCCCGAGAAATTATGCAATTGGATCACCAGCTT